AATTAATTTTAATTTATTAAGTAATATATATTATTTATATTTTAAATTATTTTAATAGTCAAACTAAGCTAAAAGTTTAATAAATTATGTGACCCTAATAAATTTAAGTATAGTTATAACGTGGCTTTCTATATATGGGCAAGAGGAATTCATGAAAGTGATCTACTATTTTGATTTTTTGAAACTTTGTTATTATATATGTTTGGATTGAGAGGAATGGGGGAGGAAAGGGAAAGTTTTTTTGATCAATTAAATTACAATATTTAAAAAATGTTATAATTTGATTAATTAAAAATATTATAATTTGATTAATTAAAAAATTCTTTCCTCCTTTCCATTTCCCTCAAACCAAGTATAATGTTAGTGATCTACTATTTAGTTCTCACTTACTCATAAAATACCCTATAATATATGATTAGTTTTTTTATAAAAATAATATAGATAAATACATAAGTTATCTTTAAATTTTTAATTTTTTTAAAAAATAAAAATTATTTTAAGATATATGAAGTAGAAAGCAATTGATTATATATTCACTAATTCTCGTGAATTAAATGTCTAATAATTGTTTTTCATGAGATTTCTAATATTTGTTAGACAAATATATATCTCATTTAATGCAAACAGTCTCTACTTTCAAACCTTGCTTAATTAACATAAGAACTTTTTTTGGAAGAAAACAAAGAAAACCCCTTTTTCGCTATTTATTAGGGTGACATTTATGAAGATTTGAAGTTGGATTTTTCCACTCAGAATATTTTTAAATACGGTGATATATGAACAATTTTTTTACAGTATTTTTTATATAATTTTTATATATTTTTATATATATTTATGATAAAAAAATACTTTTAATCTATATTATGAGAATACATATTAAAAAAAATAATTTAAAAAAGTTACTAAACATATATATCTAAAAATATTATATAATTATACAAAAATGCTCTTAAGTGCAATCCTAATCATACCCTGTATCTATTGAGCCACAATGATAATTGATCTTCTGGTAGAGTAAATGTAACCTACAAATTACAATTTTCTTATGTTAGAGTAGAAGTTATCTACAGATTACAAATACGGCAACATAGTAAAAAATTATCAACGTTACTTAACTAAAATGACAAGAAATACGAGTAATCAAGAAGATGCTGACAGAGATCATTAATAAAGAATCTTTCCTTACACGATTGAGATCTTTTTGGAACGTTCCTTCCAGCTTACTCTGATGAGAAAAACATGTGCAAATTAAATATATATATCATTATTTGTAAAATTATTTAAATATTTTTAATAAATTATATAAATACATATGACATGTTCTATTTATTTTTTAAATAACAGTTTTTTTTGAAAAAATTTTAAATTAAAAATTTAAGAATAATATTTATATTTATTTATAATATTCTTAAAAAGAAATAAAAGATAAAAAAATTTTATGATTAAATGATTATTAAAGTGAATGAATAATTATAAAATTAA